TTTTATTATTAAAGTTTACACTCAATAAATTGTTAAATTTATTAGAAAATAAAAGCAAGAAAATAAAAACTGAATAAATTCTATCTCATAAGATGCTTATGAGTGCATATTAAGTAAATGTTTAATAAACATCATTAAATAAACATAAATTCTTGTTCATGAGTATCGGTCTGTCCGCTTGTCTATCAATCTCTGTGCCTGTTGGAGGCGCTGTCAATGATTGTTTATAATGTCTTTTGCGTCGAGATAGCCTTTTGATCTGACTTTGCCTTTAAAACAGCGCTTATGTTGTTACAATGTTCGTGATATATGAATGCATGTACGTACGCAAGACTTCACTGCTTCGCTTGGTGAATGTTGGCGAAACCATTGTTTTTTTTTTTTTGTTTTTTTCTACTTTTAACTTATATTCCTTTCTTTTGATATATAGCCAGTAGAAAAAAAACCGAAAAATAAAAAATAAAAAGGAAAAAACTAAATTTCAAGTCAAAAGTCAAGCATTAAGATCTCATATAACTGACTATGTGCAAAAGAAAATATTCCATTCGAATTTTATTTCGATAAATAACGAAAAAAAAAAAAAAGAAAAGATTTTTAAGTGTTATGACACTAATACTATTTAAAGATATATTGTTCATCTAAAGATGATTAGTTCATCTGGTAAATACTCATAAACTTTCTTATAAAGCGAACATATATATATGAATATACATATAGCTATATGTGTGCGTAGAAATGCAAGTGTAAGTGCATACATATCTATGTGGTTGCCTATACGCTTGTCTATGCATCTTCTCTCACCTTTGTGATGCCATATTTAGAAATTGCTTTTATGTACAAAATTTTTCTATCCACCACCAGATTATAGAGTTATATTCAATTTGTTATTCCTTTCGTAATAAACAATCCCCGTTGATATATCTATCTACCCGTATATAATTTTTCGTTCATTTATTTCTTCACATTTCATTTTATTGCCTGCTCTCACGTAAGGTTTACTCTAAAGCTACCCTAAAGCTAAGTACATCTATAGCGGATCATATCTCTTCCCTATATTCGCCAATTTTCCTATTTTGACCTTAAAGCACTTTCCCTGGACAGTGAAAAATTTCGATTATTTTCGCAGTATTCTTCGGAAGGTTATTGACTAGTTTCAATACTGCAATCATGCAGCGATATCTTGTCGCTATTTACAAAAAAATTGATGCATGTGTAAAGGTATTAAACGCATACTAAGACACGTGTTCCTTTTGTACTACACGCTAGTGGATTTGTAAGCCGAGCCCAACTTTAAACATTAAAACGTTAAAATCTAAAAGTTAATAGTTTTTTGTTTATATCAAATTTTGAAGACGTGTACTGATAACGGTACACAGCCATATGTATTTTCTCCCATGAAGACAAAAGAAACACTAATTATTAAAAATTACTACCTTTGTTAGCGTGTACTGAAAACGGCACATATGACATTATTCATAAGTAGCTTGCCACGAATGACGTTAAAAGATATCTTTAGCAAATCCCTTCTTTAATAGTGAAAGTGATTCTACAATTTCGAATGTGACGTTTTTTTTTTATTTATTTGCTGAGAGCGCTATTAACAAAACAAGTTCTCGTTAATATAGCCAGCCATCTTTAAGGACTTTGCTTAGCTAATATAATGAAATCGCCCAAAAGGTTTTATAAATATTTTGATTTCATCTAAAACGTCTTCAAAGTCATCCGACAAAAGAATATCCATGTCTATGTTTATTTGTGTGATATCACTTAATATGTAATTAATTCTTCAACATTTGTTAGCTCCCCTCGCATTCTACCAGTGAGGAAAGCAGCGAAATGTATTTATTTTAGAGCAAAACAATATAGCGACCGGCACATGTTAAAATTTCCCCAAAAAGATTTCAATTTAACCTATAAATCTATGTATAAAACCATATGCAAATACTTTCAGTGCCTTGACTATATAAAAAAAAAAAAAACAAAAACCAAGATGTACAACTGCATAAATGTGTAAACTCGCGTGCATGGGTATATGTGTTTATGTGTCCCAAATATAGCCCGGTCTCCGTTAAAATGTTTACTTTTTAATCTCGTTGAGAGTACATTTATGTAAAACGTCTAAAGACTAAATAAAGTTTTTGCCGAACATGTGTCCACACAGGTAAAATTTATACAAATAAAATTTTAAGAAAATAAAAGCAAATAAATATATACATATATATAACTTTGTGCATATATCCATTCCCTTGCATACAAACATACATAGTACGGAGCCCCAAAATATGATGATATTTATGTGCGTGTATACATATCCATACGACTACAAATACAAATACGTATATATATATATATGTATATATATACATATATATATATAGCAAAGATTACTTAATTTATCTTCTTAAATAAATACGTATATACCTATAAATATTTGTTTATATATGTGTAAGCATGTTTATATGTATGTATGTCAGCAAGCAGATATAAACTTTGCGTGTATGTTAAAAAAAAAAAAATTAAATGAAATTTTTTTTCTTCCCCGCTCCAAAGGCATCACAAGCAGACATATATTCGCTATTTGATAAAATGCTTTTGATGCTTTTAATTTATTCATTAAATGCTGTTGACTTTGCGGACACAAACATACATGCATACAATATTACATACTATTAAGTATAAGTTTCTGGCTTGACAAGCGTATTATCAAATTGAGTTGCTTAAGTTTACATTTAACATTCATACGATACAAGAACAAAGATAAGCACTTTTCAACACTTAAGAGCAATAAGTAATTATGAAAAGTACTTTTTAAGAGTTTCTTCTCAAAACAACGCTTTTTCTATTTGTATAAGACAAAAAGCAAAGAAGAAAAAAACTCGTTACATCTTACATAGATGAATTTTTTCCAAAAATATTTCATATAAATTTTCTTTAAAAGAAAGGAGTTCGCGTTCACATTCGATATGATCGAACGATAATAATAATTTGCATTTCTTCTTCTTTCTTCTTCGATATTCAGCAAATAATGTTCCTTGTTAATTGTTGTAATTTGGGCTCGAAAAAACGTATTGGAAGAAATTGGATTTTAAGATTTGCTTAAGAAAATTACATTTTTAATTCCCTATACCGCTTGTGGCGCAAGGATATATTGAGTTTGCGCGGGTGTGTGCAACATTCAGATGGGCTACAGGGAGAGAGAGAGATCCATCTTTTATTATATCGATCCATTTCAGTATCGCTTTCTCAATCGATTTAAGCTTGTCCGTCCGTCTATCTCTCTGTTTTGTACTCCGTTGTTCAAGCTACAGCTTGCAAATTTTCGATGAGATGGTTTTATCCACTGGTCGCTTTTGTCCCAAGGACGAGCGCTATTAAAAGCGGCTCGGATCGGACCACTTTTCCGACAAACTCCCGCTAACTATAAGCCGGTTTAGGGTATTTAATGATCGGTCTTGCTCCATTACGGTTTTTTACTTATTTACCTCCTAATTTTTTCGTAACTCTTATAGCATATGCGAACATGACCCGTGTCAGATAATAACAGTTAATGGTGTTCGTTTTGGCGACATGATGACGGTCATATTCCTTTTGTACCTGAATTGCAAGGAATTTAGAATTGGACGCTTTGCAATTTCAGCAAGACCTAACCGCATATTGCCTGCAGATCCGAGCAACAATGTCAACACTGTATCAACAAAACTAAACTGGATTTGTGCAAAATGATGACAAAAAATTTCGACGAAACAGCGCATATATGCGCCAAGAAAGCCTTGGACATCACTTATCCCACATGCTCCCTTTCCGCTATACCATAATCTTGTAACTCTTTAATATTCATTTGTGAATGCAAGTTTTTTACCCTTGTCGGACCCGTTTGACGATAATTGCAAATACTTAGAGCTCTTACTGAGTCTTTTACTACAGATAATAATAAACGGACTTGACTTAACCATAACCATTAAATTCAAGTTTCTCTTACGAGTAAGAAGACATTATTTAGACATTAGACATTTAGACATCACAAGACATTGTTTAGCTGAGATAAAATATTTTTTAATCTAAAAAAACTGTGGGAAAGAGAGACTAATTTCCTAGCAGTCTGAGATTCTATTAATAGCATTATATCGCAGCTGTTTATCCTTCTTACGGTGCAGCAGCGTTTGAAACATAAAAAATGCATACATGGAGTTTAATTTGTCTGAGAAGGTTTGCTCTTCATTTTCGTGAATAGTTTTTAAAAAAGCCATGGCCACCCCGTGCTCCGCACTGCTTTTCCATCGCCCCTTGATTTATTGCTACACAAAGTAATTCAATGAAAATAAATAATGTGCAGGTATGTGTTTTTAAAAATCTCTAAGACTGGAATACTATATACTATATATTAAATTTCTCAGTTAAACACGTCCAAGAACCAAAGAAAATTTATCAAAGATTTGGATAAAGTCTTCTTATCCGCTTTATTCGAACTTTTACTTATACTCGTTAATCTTGTAGTGCCACTCTCCGCTTGCACGTCCTCCTTCTCGCGATCTCTTTCTCTCTCTCAAGCGCTCTTTATCTATTTGATCAACTACTCCATATATTCCCCCGCTTCGCTCTCTGTCACTAAGTATATATCCCGTTTTTCGCTCTCGACCTGCTCTACTAATTTTTTATCATTTTGTTTCTCTTTGCCATCTTCCTATCTTTCCCTTTCTCCCTCCCTCTCTCTGTCTCGGTCCATTTTTTTTGTCTCGCTTCATTCATTTGCCTCTGCTTCTCTCTTTCGCCGCCGCTGACAGCCTATGTCTATCAATCTATATAATTATCTTTCTCTCCCTCTCCCCCTCTCTCTCGCCGGTTACGATTTCTCTTCACCCCAGAACGAAAAAGTCTTAACATTTTTTCGAGAAATTGCTTTGCAGTGTGAACATGAAATTTATAAAAATATCACAAGCGTACAATAGCAATATCAAGAAGAATTACTTGTGTGACCACTTAAATTGAGTTTTACTACTTACGAATTTGATTCCGGATAACCATTGCGTCCTTTATGAAATGCTATGCTAAAACCGAACATTGTATTTGGTTCACGTTGATGCCGTACATAGCTGGGTATATCAATATTGTACGCGTAACTGCCCAATGGGCATAGCAGTGTGGCACAGCAAATCAACAATAGCGTCAACATCCAACCGGTAGCAGTTTCCATGATATAATAATGTTGACGACGACTCCCCACCGATATGCCGGGTTGCTGGGGCAACGTAAATGTTCTCTTCTCTTTCAATTTCATATTTATTATGTTATTTCTATGCATTTAGATATCCATATACGCATATAGACATGTGTGTGTGTGTGTGTGTGTGTGTGTGTGTGTGTGTGTGTGTGTGTGCGTGTGATATGTGCGAATTTGAATTTTATGAATTTGATTTTATTTATTTATTTTTCTTTTCTTTTTTTTTTTTTTTTAATTTATATTTTAATTCATAAAGATTTTTAGTTTTCCTTTGAACTTTTCAATTTAAAAAAGTTCGTCATTTTTTTGTTCTACTCGTGGTATTTATATTTTTGTTACTATTTTAAGAAAATTATTTAAAAAAAAAAAAAAAAAGAAAAGAAAATTTTATCATTATTTCATATCATATATATATATATATATATAAGATTTCACGAAAATTTCTTGTACTTTTCATTTCGTCTACCGTTACTTTTCAATAAAAATGAGATAAAAATATTCGTTTGTTTTTTGTTGTTTTTTTTTTTCTTTTATATAATTTTACTTGAATGTCTTACTTATATGTAATGATGATATCTTTAATTATTGTTTATTTTTTTATTATTTTTATTTTTTTTATATCAATTTTCTTCAAGGTCTATAGTAGTTGAATTAACAGGTACATATACATATATATATATATATATATATATATATGTGATAAAATTTTGTATTTTCTATGATTTATTGTTATTTTGCTGATGTTCTCTTGTCATTGAACAATGAAATACAAAAACCATTAGAAGACCTTCCAAGCAATTAAAAACTGATCATATTACTTAATGAACGAAAATTTTTAACGATAACTAAAAACAGCCGATACTTTCCGACCATCATTGACATCCTACATCATTCTTAACATGCATAGCAAATTTTTTTTACCCAATGCAACGAATATGCTTAAAAGATAAATCTCAATACGAAAACATTACGCGATCCGGTCAAAGGTCTTTTTTATTTAATAAAAGTGTTAGATATGCCAAATGATTAGATAATCATCCCTTTTTACTTTTAACTCACACTCGAGTCGTTACAAAAGAAATTGATTCTATTTCTAGGGGATTCAGGCTATTGAATTAAGCAATGGAACCTACGAATGTCAAGGCAATAAAAGCCGACAACTCGTAAAAATTCAAAAGGCTGAAAAGCTTTTCATCCATAACACGATGACAGAGATCTTTTTCGTGATATAAAGTTTTATCCAAAGCTCTCTCTCTCTTGTGCTTTAATTATTATAAATACATATAGTTGATCCGGTCGCTAATCATTCTTAGAAGTAGATGTATTCTCCATTTCGATAAGGTTAACGTACCCTACATCTTCCTTAATACCCTTACACCATAAAATTATTATATTATTTAGGGATAACGAGTAAAGATAAATTATTGCTTTGTTACGATTCGGTCATCAATCATGTTCAGAGAGAAATGTGTAAGTAAAAGTCTCTTCAGGTCAATAATCTCGTATGTTTAGATCAAAAATTTTGAAACAGTTTATATCAACTTACATTAGTTCATTACATACTAGTATTCGAGAAAGATCAATGTCGCCCGATAGCATCGCTAGAGAAAATACTTCGCTTCAGTGAAAATTAATGTCCAGATCAAGTCCAAGAACAAATTTCAAATCTTTTAAAAACTGCTCTGTTGCTCTCTCGAAATTCTCTCAAAAATTTTAAACTGCTTCTAAAAGTAGAAAGGAGAAAACTTGTAGCCCATCCAGTCGCTTGTGTTTAAAACACTTTCAAATTTGCCCCAATTTCTACTTGCACGTAACGCTATTTTACCGTGCACCCTAAATGATAATGCAAAAAAAAAAATAGGAAAAAAAAACCAGAGAGAACAACAAAATATATTTCGCTAAAAGCGCTATTTTCGAAAGGAAGTCCGACAAGATAGACGGGGTAAAATGATATGTTCCTTTGTGCACCTTATCTTATCGCACAATGATATGCCCATGAAATCAGATCGTTTTGTGAACGTGTACTGCATTAGAAACGTATTCTATCTTAACTGTCAAGATCGCGACTAATAGTTAAGAAGGTAGCAAACGTAAAAAAGAGATGAAGAAAAGTTGCCGCCCCGCTCTCCTCTTTAAAACGTTTAATTACAAATTAATTGGCAGTGAAAACGAACTGGAAAAATTGACGAAATCGTTGGTTTTAATATGTTCGGCAATGTCTACCTCAAGGCATATTCTTAATATGTATCTTTTATGTATATTCTTAATATATATCTTTAAACGATAGATTTGTTAGCGAATATCAAACCGATAAATATATATATTCATAGATGGATATTTACACTGTAAGCTGAAAGTTATTATCATCTATTCTTTACATAAACTTGGCTTCTCTTCAAGGTATTTTCATTAATTTTTCTATTTCTAGCGGCTTACGATCATAAAGCTCAATGGATATAAGCCCATATACATCCAGTTGCGGTCATGTATGCAAACACGAAGATGGACGCATGGACGGACGCAGCTGAGGCAAGAGCGACTCTTTTAATAATAAAGTTCTACGTGAAAAAACCTCTTGGATCAAAGACTTGCGTATGGCAAACGCTGTGATTAAGTTAGCATTACGTTTTTACCAACAACAACAACAACAACAAGCCGTATATCATATTTACCTTAGGAATTATGAGAAACATGAAGAATTAAAAAAAATATATAATTTTTAAGATCTAAATTAAATCCAAAGCTACTGAAACAACATCTGTTGACTGCAAACTAAATTCCGTATATATAAACATATATATAGATAGATATTTCTAATGACGTAATTTTTGCAATACCTAAACACAAACGATAAAATATCTATAAATGAATACATACATACATACATATTGAACAAATAAAGAGAGAGAGAGAGACTGAGTGAGAAATAGAGAGTGAGAGAGAGAGAGAGAGAGAGAGATAGAGAGAGAAGGACTGGAAAGAAGAAAAAAAATATTCATATTCAGGTTCTAAGCATATGATCAATTTTTGTTATTCTGTGTTGGTGGGATATGCATAGAGGTTAAATGTCTGTCTATTTTATTGGAGCATAAAAACTAACAAAATAAAAAAAAAAAAAACAAAAATTTAAGACATGCATGGCATATGTACATAAGTATGTAAGCTTTAAGCTGCACACTATGCTGTCTATATGTTTGCGTGGTTTCCGACAGCAGCAGCAGCAGCAGCACCAGCACCAGCAATAGATAGATATTTGTACAAAGATTTTTACCGCCACAGCTTAAAAGATAGTTTAGTTTTATGTCTTTAAAATGAGCATGAATGCGTCAAAAGTTCAATATTATTATTATTGTTGCTCCGCTATGTACATTATATATGTGTATATGTATGTGCATTTTTCTATAGCTTGAGATCATTTCAAGTTAATTTGTGTGGTTTTGCTTTTTATTTTTTATTATTATTATTTTTATTATTATTATTATTATGTTTTTATTTTACTCTGCAAGTACATGCCCTCAGCGATACCACAACTATCTACGAAGAATCTAAACTAAGCTTAAAGTCTATTTTTTTTTAAATAATAAGCAAAAAAACCACAGTCGCCTTAAGGCGAATCTCAGGCACGCATCATTTTTCAACTTAACGTTTATATGATTTTAATTACATGGACATTTTAAATCAATATACTCTGTAAGATCTAAAATTCTTAAAAAAAAAAAAAAAAAAAAATTATAATAATAATTTTTCGATTTGATTTTTATCTTCTAAAAGTCACTTTAAGATTTTCGCCTACTGAAGGCAATCAGTCTTTGCAGCCTTGATAAATTCTACACTTCAACTGATTGTGTAGAACCTTTAGGTTTTTCTTAGAATCATCGGATGGTATAGTAAGGTCCAATCTAGATTCCGTAATTCATATTCTTCGTCGTCTTCGATATATGATATTTTACATCGATATGAGATTCAATTGTAAATCGATTTTAAGCAACTCGTCTTGACGTCCGATTTTTATTGGTTTTATAAAAGTTTCCCAAGATGAAGAAAAAAAGTTGAAAGCTAATCAATAGCCATAGCAGATGTTACAAGAGAGAAGTTCATCTGGGGCATTAAAAACTCGCTAAGAATTCAGACAATTTTATTACATTAAAGAGCGACATACGGTTGGAGTCGATTAGTCTGTTGTCACCTTCGATGCCAGATTTTGCCAGATATATTCCAAGTCAAATATAATTAATTCTGTGGAATAAAATCCTACGAGATTTTTGCGATCTTGTGGGAAAAAGTCTTATATATATATATATATATATATATATATATGTATATATGTAAGTATAAGTATATAATAGTCTTTTAATTATTTTTACTTTTAATGCGGTAGTGCAGATAGTGGGAGATGAATGTCAAATGAGATAAGCAAGCTATGCGGCTAACTATCGATTCAGAGCGATGATTAACATATATACTTATATATATATATATATATATATATACATTTATATGCATATACATATATTAATCAGCAGAATCCTGAATCGATACTTAACTATACAAGTGTATATGGGTACGTGTGTGAGTGTGTGTGTATGCGTATGTATGCATTACTTAATATATTTATACATTAGAGCGATATTTTTTTTAATTTTTTTTTTGACAAACAAAATATTTAAGTAAATTAATATTTCTAACATAGCATTTGACTTGAACGTAGTCGCAGTAGTAAGAGTAACTAAGTAACTAACTAACTAACTACCAGATGAAAAAGTGCATTAATGAAAATAGACTTGAAAAAGGAAATCTAGAGAAAAAAAAAAAAACCAAAAAAAACGTGACATCATTGTTTTGTCTTGAGATTTTTTTAAATATAATTTCTTCTCTTTTTTTTGTTTTATTTTTTTTTTCTTCACACAATATTTCGCATAAATTATTCGTGCACTTACACGTATAAATAAATGCTAAACTACTTTAATATTTAATAACCACGTTTAACATATTCACGTTGCACTTGTTTGTGCATATATTTCTTTACTTTAAAGTTTTTATGCAGTTTATTTTTTTTATTTAATTATCTGTTTACATGGTCACTGGTAGACGACAAAGACAATTTGCATTAATCTTTGTTTGTTTGCATATCACTTATAACAACTCATGCTCTCAATTTCTTAAATGTTTACTCTCTATGTTTGTGTTTTTCTGCCGACTTTTTTTT